ACACCCTCACGAACTGTGCTTGTGATAAATTTATGATATGTTATCAGACGTTTTAAACTAATTCATTTTACAACTATCAAACAAATGAATAAAGCAGAATCATAAGAATTTTTATAATTGAGATGCTCGCTCTGAAATCTAATAATTTTGAAAATATTAACGCGCATTATTTTTCTATCAGTTTATTTGATTCATTTAACATCATAGTACTGAAAACAGTTACTTATATTGTCATTGCTCAATAAAGATTTAACAACGAAATATTAAATATGATTGAATGTTAAAATATAATATAAAAAAATTAACCAGTAAATAATAAATATTAAATAATAGATATTTTAATATTAAGTAATAATTGTTTAAACATTAAATATTCAATTTATGAATTATTAATTTTTTTCATCATTTTATTGATTGGCTAATTAACAAATTTGTTTGTGACGATCTGTAATGGGAGAGGGGCTCATTGTTATGGGAACATGTGCGCGATCAACCGCCCGGGTGCCCCATAGAAAATAATATTACTTCAGGGAAGAGTATATGATGAATTTTATACCAAATGAAAGCTCGTGAAAAATGGGATTTGTTGATACTAAATAGTAAGGGTTTTGCGAACTGTTTATTGTCAAACTTAAGAAATTTTGAGAAATTTCATACATTTTGGCATAGAAAACTAAGATGTCTATAATTCAAAAATCGAGTAAAACTTTTTTTTCTTGAATATTTTTATACGATTCGATAGAACTCGTCGAGCTCTACAAAATTGTATTATCTTAAAAAAAGTGGCTTAAAAAACTCCAATATATGCAGTTTTGTACAGCTCATCAAGCTCCATTGAATCGTGTAAAAATATTTCAGAAAAAAATTTTTACTCGATTTTTGAATTACTGACATCTTAGTTTTCTATGTCAAAAATGTATGAAATTTCTCAAAATTTCTTAACTTTGACAATAAAAAGTTCACAAAACCCTTACTATTTAGTATCAACCAATCCCATTTTTGACGAGCTTTCATTTTGTATAAAATTCATTATATACTCTTCCCTGAAGTAATATTATTTTCTATGGGGCATCCGGGCGGTTGATCGCGCCCATATATGTCTTTGGATTCCAGACATCTGTTTGCTAGGGCCTAGTGAGAAGTTGCAAAAACCTCGATTTAAACTTACACTTTCTATTTTCTTCGAAAAAATATGTGAGTTCCACAAAAGCAAAGAAAAATCTATATAAATAAAATTGTTCTACTATTTATATTATTTACTTTTTCTTTGTTTCTTATTAAAAAGAGAAAAAAGAAAAAATATCTATAAATTGTGGTATAACTCTTTTCAAATTAGACCTTCATCTTGACTTCCTGGATTCAAAGAATTGGTGAATTAGTTTTATAACATTCTTTTGATTTGATGCTTGAATATCTTACTTTTTGGCGCACTTTAAACATAATAAAGTTGGTTCCACATTATCTTAATTTGTGATGATCAAAATACACTTTTTCTTTCTTTCAATATTTTTCTTTTTTATGATCGATAAATGAAACTAAAATCTATACCGTTTTAATTAGTGTTGCTCTACAGTATACCCTGTATTTCTTTGATATTTTCAATTTATTTTTGGTTATGCTTGAATAACGCTCTGGCTGCTGTTAGTTATTCTTGGGTGTGTGTGGGGTGTGGTTGTGAGTGCATGTATAGTTACTCTTCCAAACTCACAACCACATTCACCCATACTTCACACTCACAACCTTGAATCTCTTATCTTCTATAAGATTCTATATGTAATAGAGTAGATGATCTCGACTTGATGCTCCATTGGAATCGAACTTGAGATAAGCCATCTGAGGAGTCTTTTAAGCAACCCACGGAAAAATTTTTGAACAAAAATCGCTAGAAACCGCGGTTTCACAAACTACGGTAATCAACGGTTTTCCGAAACCGCGAAAGTCAGACCTTTTATGCGGTGTTTGAAAACCGCCAAGAACCGCGGTAATTTCACACCGCGGTTTTCACCGGTATCCAAAACCGCATAAAAGGTCTGACTTTCGCGGTTTCGAAAAACCATTGATTACCGCGGTCTGGAAAAACCGCATTTAAGGTCTGACTTTCGCGGTTTATTCAAGCGGTGATGACCGCAGTGTACCAATATCGGAGTTTTTGGTGGTTTTAAAAAACCGAATAAAAGATTTGACTTTCGCGGTTTCCTGGAACCGCTGGAAAACGCGGTTTCCATGACCATACCTGATTCAGGTATGATCAGACTCACCTGAACTTATGATAAAGTTCAGGTGAGCTACCCTTCAAGGGGTCTGTAGTGAACTTTAGAAGTTCCATTACCACAAAGTTACTTTGTAGTGAGAGATAGAATAAGAAAACTTATGCAAAATTTTCATGAAAATAGCGGGGCACGACATCCTCTTCGTCCTTACACATTCCATCGCGATGGTTGAAGCACCAAAAATACCGCGGTTTCTCTGCTGACAAATGCGGTAATAAATAACGCGATTATTCGATGGCATACCGCGGTTTCTGAAACCGCTGAATGCTGTGGTTTTTGCCACCGCAGTTACTAATGACTATACCGCGGTTTTATAAACCATTGAATACCGTATTATTTATCACCGCGGTTACTGATGGCTACACCGCGGTTTTAGAAACCGCTGAATATCGCGGTATTTATTACCGCAATAAATAATGACTAGGGGTGTCAACTTTGCGTTCCGTTCCTAGGAACGGGGAACGCTACCCCGTTCCCGTTCCTGGGAACGGGGAACGCTTCCGCGTTCCTCAGCGTTCCGTTCCTAGGAATGGGAACGCAATATACGTTTCTTTCACTTTTAACAGAAATTTTACTAATTCACCGAAGGAAAGCCAATTTCATAAAAATTAGGGATGTTAACGTGCCCCGTTCCCCAGCGTTCCGTTCCTAGGAACGGAACGCCGAGGAACGGGGAACGCTGACACCCCTAATAATGACTATACCGCAGTTTTTGAAATCGCTCAATACCGCCCTGATTAACCACCGCGACTACTGATGATTATACAGCGGTTTTAGAAACAGCTAGATACCGCGGTGTTTATCACCGCAATTCCTGATGACTGTACCGCGGTTTTAGAAACCGTTCAATGCCGCGGTATTTACCACCGTGGCTATTAGTGACTATACCGCGTTTTTGAAAACCACTCAATACCGCGATGTTTACCACCGCGAGTATTGATGACTATACCGCGGTTTCTGAAATCACTGAATACTGCGGTATTTATTACCGCAATAACTAATGACTATATCGCAATTTTTGAAACCGCTCAGTACCGCCCTACTTACCACCACGGTTACCGATGAATATACCGCAGTTTAAAAAACCACTCAATACTGCGGTATTTATCATCTCGGTTACTGATTACTATACCGCGGTTTTGAAAACCGTTGAATACCATGCTATGAAATACCGCGGTTTCCAATTACCATACCGCGACTTTTTAGACCGTTGAATACCGCGGTATTTAGAACCGCGATCATGAATACGAGCAACGCGGTTTCAGAAAACCGCGGTTCAAAAAAACCGCTACCAACCGCGGTAATCCAATCCAAACCGCGATTTCCTCTAGTAAAACCGCGGTCGAATGAAAAAAATCGCGGTTTTGAGCGGTTTTTCAAAAAAAATTTTTCCGTGGGAAGGACGAAACCGATCGTGGCAGCTTTACTCGCCCTCACCCTCTTTGATTGTGCTTTGTAGTTGGGTAAAATAGTTTATATAATAAATACAATGTGTTTTATTGTACAAGAACAAAAAGCACACAATATTGATATAGACTTATATTGTCAAATATTGATGATCCATTTTTTGAATGCTTTTTTTATACATCTCGGATGGTAGAACAAATATTCCCAAAGTCAGCATCGACGGAGTGAATGAAGTGAAATAATCAATGAGATAAAACCAAGAATGTCGAGCTGATTTCATACAACCAGATACAAATGATATTATTAAGCGAGGAACAGATAATGCAACAAGAAGAGATGAAGAAATAAATAAATGTTTATGATATTGAATTTGTTTGCATAAATTTTTTTTATATGATTTTTTTTCTGAGATTTCGAACGAGTATGAGTGATAGCAAAAATAATAATTATAGAGGACATTATATTGATTAAGAATGGGACTGAAAAATGAAAGATATTCACAATCCACTCAACTATTTGCATAGATGATGAATATTTAGTAACACACCATGTACGTTGCTGTTCTTCATCGTCGATTAAATCACGATGAACAGGATCAAAAATGAAAGTTATACTAGTGAAAACAATTATAATCAATATCATCCATTTAGCTACTTGTTTACTATTAGTCTTGTTGAATTTCACTCTTTTGATAGCATTCATTGCTCGTTCAATAGCAACACAAGCACTAAGCCAATCATTAGTACACAGGAGAGATCGAAGTAGAAAGTGAATCGATAAACATTGAATATAATAAAACGTTCGATTCGTAATTGAACCGATTTGTATAACAAGCAAAAAGGAAAATTTCAATATCAATAACGTAATTGTAATCATTGAAATAATTGATGATGCATAGAGATAAAGACCACAACCAACGTTACGAACGTGTTTCTGTCGAAATGTTTGAAAAGATAGAAAACTATTGATCGAATCAAAAACAAAAATAATTATAATAAACATCATTGCAATTTTTACAATAATTTGTTGTTGATTAAACTGAATATTCGAACGAATGTGATATCCTAAAATAATATTCAATGAAAGAGTTGATCCTTTAGTTGAAACCTGACATTTTGATCCAAAAAAACAAGTAGGACACACGCAAAACGCTGCTGTTGGACATTTATGATCGTCAAGAAAACAATTTCCTTGATTCTCACAAAGATTTGAACCATCACAATCATAGTTCATATTGTGATCAAATTCAAAGCAATTCGCTTGTCGTTCATGAGTACATAAACAAATATGAACATCATCATAAAAACAATTTAATTGAACATGTTATTGACATGGAATATGATAATATTTTATTCGTTTTAGTAGATGTTGATTCGAAAATATTTCATCGAATAGTTCAAGAATTGATTGGCATCGATAAGGAGGAATGAGTTTTGCTGATATTTGCTCGAAAATAATCGCATTTTCACGAACAATAATTAAGTAATAATTATTTAAGATTTGCGCAAATGCCATATGAAATATAACTGAAGTCAAAATCTTTGTTGAAGACTCATCAAATTGAATCTTTTTCATTAGACTGGTTCGCTTCGGTTGAGCATTTTCTTCAACTAAAATCAAATGAATTAATAAAAATGACGGAATTGTTTCAAGATCATCAAATGAAAAATCAATTTCAGTTTGATTTTGTCGATATTCACAACGATTTCCTGCATAACCTTGGCGGCAAATGCACATTGATCGATTATGATTCGGATGTCTGTAACGTATATCTTCCAGAATACATTGTCCATCATTAAGACATGGTTGAGATTCACATGACAATTGAGTGAGATGACATCGATGGCCAAAACGACCTGTTGGACATAAACAAATCGAATTGCTTATACATAAAGAACCTAATGCACAATCACACGTATGTTTTATATGACATTGAACGCCGGACCATCCGGATTCACAATGACAATATGTCAAATTTTGATTATTAATATACGATAGACATTGACCATGAATACATGATGGCCAACAGTGTTTCCCTATGGATTGTATTATTGACACGGGCGTTTTGAGCAAAACAGGTAAACGATAGACAGGAAGAAAAGCAAATTGTATCAAGAAAATCCCACTCGCTCGATAAATTAACGTTACTTGATTGAATACATCAATTTTTACTGAATAATTTTTCGATAAATAATTCGGTCTTGTTGAATAAAGTAAATAAAGATTATATTTTGTATTACAAGCACGGCTAGGTAAATATTCAATATAATCATAGGATTCGATGTTCATTTCATTGTCGATTAGAGTTATGAGAAAAATAAAAATATTGGTCCAGTTCGATTTAACTCGAATTTGAACAGTAACACTGACGCGTTGATTATCATATTGACATCGATCACCATAATAGCTTGCATGGAGGGCAAAGACAATACAAACGCGTTTGATTCAAATCTATTCGAATACGCATTGATACACCTCGATTACATCGCCATGCATTGGCAGATGTGTAGACAATTGATGAGATTTTTTTGATCGAGCGAGTGTTAATTTTGTTCAGTCATTGATTTGAAGTATGGGCATCAGTTATTTGTAAATGATAATTTAACATGCTGTGTAATTTGAAATATATTCGTGATTGAGTGTTATCTGAATAACTTGCAGAACAAATAAATCTATCTTTGTATTGAATACCGGCATCCGATAAATAACTACATAATGGATTGGTTACAGTGCTCAAAATACTACAAAATGGTTTGGCATTTTCAACTGGACATTTCAATGTTGGCGCGCAATGTATATCAAATGGAATAGACTTTGTATCATTCCAACAATGAAGATATTCGAAAGAATCGGTCGACCGATGTACAAAATAATTTTTTTGTTCATTAGTTCGATTGATTGATGAACATGAGAGACTTAACGTATCATTGAGAAATACACACTGATTTCGAGATAAAGAACTAATGGTATGTGAACAAGACATTTCATCGACTCCATTTTTACAATTCCATACTTTGTTACATCGTGTGTAAATATTATTACATGGCCAATATTTACAATTTGTTTCATCAGTTTCATATTGTCCGTCAATTGCTAAAGGTAATAAATCAACCATCCCGTCGCATATTTTTTGGAAAGAAATATGTACAGCGTTATATTGTTCCAGTTCAAAGATTTCATCTTCACCTTCTTCGCAATCCTTAATAATATTACCAATGACTAAAAATGCAAGACATTTTTTCTGATTTTCATATCGACATTGAGAACGCTGATGAGCATCGTGAAGTGAACAACTTTGGTTAGGGTGTGGGTGGGTGTGGGTGGGTGTGGGTGTGGGTGTGGGTGTGGGTGAGGGTCTGGGTGTGCGTACGAATGCCGCCTTCTACACGCTGACACCCATTTACGCCCACACCTACACCCATCCGCAGAATTAGGGACAAAAAATGACTGAATGGCAGAATTAGGTACAACTTGTTTTCCACTACCTTCAGACATCTTCCTTTCACGGTCCATATCTCAATCAAAGAAGATACGATTCTGTTGAACCTTTGGATTATAGTAGAGTTTGATCCACTCTATAAAAATGTCTAACATACCTCCCCTCCATCTCTCTCAAAAAATATTAAAAAATACTTTTTTCTCCAAAGTTAACTTTTTCTATGTATTTTATTAGAAGACGCAGAATTAGGGACATTTTTCTGCTGGCCGACAGAATTAGGGAATTACACCCTAATTCTATCAAGTAAAGTTCATTTTTGTAGACCGATTATTTCAACATGAAAATATGAGAAACAAAAGACCAAAAATATATCATTTGAAAAAGGAGAATCCAGATTTATAAAAATATTTGTGATCGGATGTAAAATGGTTTTGTACTGGTAAAAATAAAAAATAAAAAAGAACTTTCCGCAGAATTAGGAAAATCGTCTGTATTGATGTGCCGATAATCATCAACATTTGTTCAAGGGCGTGGGTGTGTGGGTGTTAGTGTGGGTGAGTCAAGACAACACCCACACCCCACACTCACACTCCGACCACACTCATACACCTCTTACACCGACACTCACCCATATCGCACATCCACACCCACACCCCACACCCTATCATCTAATTCTATTGTCGGAATCCAAGAGAATTTGATGTCGGAAATCTTCGGAAACTACCAGAATATGAAGGTTTCCGACAGTCCGAGTTCGATCAGATTCCGACTGTCGGAAACTGTCGGATGGAACCATTTTCAAAAGGATCCAATAGGGGGAAATTGACCTGAGTACTTCAAATAATTTTTAAAAAAGTGAACATAATTTGAAAAAAAAATAAAAATACATCCATAGTATGAAAAAAAAACACACAATGGGAGACACAAATGCAAAAGAATTGACACATGACCTTGCCAAGAATTAACGAATTCATAAATAATTGACTCAGATGGTGACTAAAGCAATGAATTTTCGATTACTGAAATTCTTTGTTTTCTACGGTACTATTGCAGTTTTATTTTTCTTTCTATTAGAAAAAAATAACTGATCAGTTCAATAATATCTTATGTTCTTCTGTCTATGAAAATTCTAAAACTAAAATAAAATATTTCTATTAACTCTCGATATTTTTTTCTGTTCAATGTTCGTTTATTGAATAAAAAGAAAATATTTAACGTTAATTCTAATTGATCTATTTCAATTGATCAATATGAAATTGAAATAAAATTTTCAATTCTTCGGGTAGAAAACAAAAAGCATTTTTAAGTAATAGTATTTTTTGTACATGATCTTTAGAGGAATCATTTCCAAGTTTATCTAAATTCAAACTAAAATAAACTCTAATTTTTTCTAATAAAGATTTATAAATATCAACATATTTCGGATTACCAGATAAAAGAACTCGTTTTAATTGTTCGAAAATATCTTTCGGTGGATGAACATAATATTTTTCCACATCTGAAAAATCATAACGTTGTAAAATATCATCAAGAAGATGATTTAATCGTTTTTGTAATTGTTCCTTTTTCTCATAGACAACGTTTGATTTATAATTATCTGATAATTCACGTAGAGCATGAGTAAGATTTTCAATAGATTGTTCAGCTTCAAGATAATAATTAACATGAATAAATAAATCAATCGAATGAACTTCATGTATAAAAATTTTAGTTAATATTTGATGAATTTCATTTGGAAATTTTCTAAGATTATCTCGAGTTTTTTCATCAATTAAATTCATAATACGATTTTTAGTTAAAATAATTGAAATATTTTCAATATTATCATTTATTAATCGAATATTATTTTTTTCTTTTGAAATATTTCCTTCAATCCAATATGCCATTGATTTAGTATGTTTCATTAATTTATTTAATGAACATTCTAAATCATGTTTTATTTGATTTAAATATTTTGAATTTGAAAGATTTTCATCAATATCGGCTAATGCTAAATCAACATATGCATAATCTCCTCTTGATATATAATCTATAATTAATTTATGAGCATCTTGAGATATTCGAAATATTTCAAGATGATATTGTTTATATAAACCTCGAAAACCAGAATCAGATAAACTCAATGAAGAGAAACGATCTAAACAAGTTAAAGATTGTGCTATAACTAACAGATGCTTTAATTCTTTATATTTACTCGACATGGAAAAATATTCCATTTGATTATCTAAGAATCGATGATAATTTAAAAATTGTCGATAATAATTTTCAAGTTTTTCATCACCGGATATACATTGAAAAAGATTAACATATTTATTTAAAGAATTTAATTCTTGAAAATAATTATCAAAATCTTTTGAGTATTGACGAATATCAGTTTCATTAACATTAGTTATATGTTTAAAATTTCTATCGATTTCTTTATAAAGAAAATTTCCATATTCTTTAATATATTTCTGTAACAATAAATTCATATCATCTACCATTTTATTTAATTGAAAATTTTCTAGTTTTTCGCAATTACTAACATATATTAACGCATTATTAGCTACTGATGCATCTAATTTATCACTGAAATAATATATTGCATTATTCTTTTCATATTCCTCAATAATTATCTTTTTCCGTAGAATATCTTGCTCAAGTGATTCATAACTTGTATATTCTTTTTCTTCTAAAAATACGTTTTGTTTAGAAGAAATCATTTCCGATGAAGACGATAATAAAATATATTTTTCTTTGATTGATATAAGTGGATCTAAAGAATTCTTAAATTTATTTTTTTTATTATCGATTGATTGTAAAATATCGAAATAAATTATTTGAAGATTTTCAAAAGTTTCTTTAACAGCTTCAATATTTGAATATCCTTTTTCTTTTAAATAACTATCTGGATTACGATCAGGTTTTTCAAATGTAATAGCTACTTTACTTATCATTCGAATAAGAACTCCCTCACTTTTTTTCGAAGAAATTAACATAGAATAATTTTGCATAATTGAATTTATATCATCTAACTGAATTTCTATTTGACTTTTTTTCGCTTCGAATGGTTCGAGGTCTTGAGATTGTTTAATTTTTAAATTTTCAATTTGATCATTTAATATCTTAAAATCTTGATAACCTGATTTTTTTAAATAATCTAAAGCTGGATTTAAATAATCACATTGATTTTTTATTTCTTCTAATTGATTTAATTTTTCTTTAAGATGTTTAATTGTTTTCTCAGATAAATTAAAAGTTTTTTTAATATTATCAAAAGCATTTTGAATAATTTTAATAAAATATTCATTGATTTGATCTCGAAAAGATTTTATTTGTGGAATATAGGATTCTAAAATACTCATCAATTCAATTTTATCAATTAAATCATGTGCTAAATGAATATTTTCGGGACATTTTAAAGTAAAATTTATTTTTTTAAGACGATTTTCTAATTGTTTAACATGTTCTTCTAATTCTTTGTTAATATTACACATCATTAATTGATATGTTCCAGGTGAAAATCTATCGAACCATTTAAGAGATGTTAAACGAGCTAATGATCGTGCAAGATGTCGACAGATCATTATTCCTGATTGATGATCAAATGTTAAAAGTAACTGTTCAGTATCTTTTTGTCTTTTTTGCATATAACCACGAATATTTTCTATACTATGATAATATATTCGAGCTGTTACTATTTTAATTTCAGGTAATTCATGAATTAAATTCAGTTGAATAAATAATTCTTCGATATACTCTAAAGCATAATCTCCATTTTTTCGAAAAAGTTCTTCAATTCTTCGATGAATTTCATTAAAATGTTTAAGAATTTTCGAAATAAAATCATCATAAATTTTATTTAAATTATTTGAAATTTTATTTTGATTTTTCATTTTTTCAACATATTTTAAAATTTGATCTTCAAGTATTGATGTTTCTTTTGCTGATCTTAAAATATTAATATAATTTTCAATAATTTTAATATCAGAATCTTCTAATCGGATTTTTGAGAGAAATGGATCTATTTTAATCGAAAAACTATTTAAATGTTCGAAAAGATATTCTATTATATTTTTATATTTTTCTTCAACTTTTCCATTTAAATGATCATTGAAAATAGAAGAATATTTCGAAATCATATCAATAATTTTTGCTATTTCTTCAAATTTATTATTTAAAATAATTTCTGAAATAGGTTCTAGAAATTTTAAAAAACATTCATCGAGTTTTTCACATATCTTCGTATAATACGATTGAAGTTCTTTAAACGAATTTTGTAACATTTGAATATTATTTAAATATATTCGTATGAAAGGATTATATAAATCTTGTTCTGTACGAATAAAATTATTCTTTTCTAATTGAGAAATGATATTTTCAATAAAAATATTATCGGAGATTAAATTTGATCCTAAATAATCTTTTAATTTTTGTATTTGTTGAATATAATTATGAAAATATTTATATTTTAGAATATCTTCTTCTTTAAATCCATCATGACTAATTAAACAGCGATTAAAATCTTTGATTATCTCTTCAGAATATTCATTAATCTTCTCATTAACAGATCTTATAGAATCATTATAAGAATCTTCAATAAAATTTTGTTTTAACAAATTTTTTAATATGTTAAAATTACGTAAATTATATAATAAAAGATCGAGATTTTTATGTTTAAGTGCATAAGTAATATTTGTTTTATATCGGTATATCTGATTCGAAATAGTAGATTGTGTACTTTCACTACATGAAAATTGAAAAACTTCTGCAGGATTTTCAATGCCATTTAAAGATCGGACTTTTTCAATTAAATTTTTTGGATCTCCATCTATAGGATTAATGATCTCCGCGCCATATTCAGTTTTATTAATCATATCTGTCAATAGAGCTACAAAAGATTTATCTGATCGTAGAACAAGATCGTTATTTACTTTGGAATCTTTCAGATCGTGTAATATAGCATGAATATCTGTTGTTGGTTTATAATTTGTAAAAGCATACATTATAGATCTAAGCCGATCTTCAATATGGTCTATCATTTTAACTAATATTTGTGTTAATTTTTGTATCCCTTGTCCTTTATCTCCTGAACTTTTATAACTTAATAAAGCAAGTATCTTTACGCTTTTACAATTTTTAAGAACTTCGAGAACTCCAGCAGAATTTGCAATATCAACTTCTGGACCTGATGTATCATCAAAACCTGGTGTATCGCAGAAAATAATCTCACCGGTGTCATCAAGACCAAAAATATCCTGTAATGAAACTGTAACAGGTATAACATAACGTGTTTCTGATCTACAATATGGACTAGTTGTGATATGAATTAATTCAGGATTTTTTATAGGTTCACACATTTCTATATGATCTAAAAATTTTCCAGGAACTATTGCTACTTTAGTTTCTTTCATTTTAGCGCCGGCAAGAAACTGAACTGTTGTTGATTTTCCACATCCAGTGACACCAATTAATAAAACAATATCTTTATTACAAATAAGTTCAGCTGTTTTTTCCATTTTTTCTATCAATCTTTGTATTTCTTGTAAATGTAAAGGTCGAATTTTTCTTAAGATATTATTTAACATATTAACTGCAGATGAACAATCTTCGTTATAAATATTTCTATTTAAATCATCAAAATACGTTCGAATTTCTTCGGAAAATAGTTCTTCATTTTGTATTTGAGTTTTTAACTCTCCTAATTTCTGAATTACTGAATCAGATGTTTCTAAAAATATAAAATCATCAACTAATCTCTGATGAAAATAGACCAACAGTTCCATGGTCATTTTCTCAGCACAGCAAGGCATATCAATCAAATCATCACGTAAATTCTTTAGATCAGATCGATTATTTTCTACTAGAGTATTTTTCTGATATCTACTTGATTTCTGAAAAACTACTTGTTCATGAAGTATTTGCGTTTGCTCTAATTCATCTAAATATTTTCTTTCTTGTTCAGCTTCTTCTATTCTATCTTCACATATATAACTATCAATTCGTTGATATGTTCGTTTAATTCTTTCAGGTAAATGTGTCGCATCTTTTACTTTACATTTTTCTAATTGATCGGTCAAAACATTTTCTTGTTCACACAAATCAAAAGTTTTACCGTCTGTAGTAGTAGATGAAATCATTGTAAATATTGTTTCATTTTGTTCAGTTGAATTTCTATTTGATTTATAATCACTAAGAATTGATTGTTGACAATTATCCATCATTGGTTGTATTAACGTTTAACGAATGTAGTCTTTCAAATAGTAAATCGATATTATTTGGATTATGAAGAAAAGAAAGCTAAAATTTGTCTGGAAATCTGACAGGAACTGAATAATGACGAAGATGTATTAGATGTTCCTCTAATAAAAAAATCCTTGCTGGATTCAAATGATTTTTTTTCCTCCTTTTATTAATAGCAAATTTTATTTATCATTTAATTTTGTCACTTGAATTTTTCTAACCGAATGAACAGAAGTGATGTATTCATATAAGACGGCGACTATTTGATGTGTTTTCAGCAACTGCGACAGTCTCAAGAATATGAAATGGAAGTGGAATTTGATTGTTTAATCGAAGGAAAATCAGCCGAGATAGAATTTGACAAGGGTTAGAAGTTTGTGTAAAATTGATGACTTAGAAATATAAAAACATGTAAAAACCCGATGGAAAAAACATAAATAGTTTCTAATACGGAGAACTGAAAACAAATCATATGCATTGTCGAAAGAGGTCAGCCTTTGTCAACCTAAGTGTACAGAAAGAAGCAAGTTGTTTAGAAAATCGATCATGTCAATACCAATAAAAACAGTGAGAGAATAATCACATAGATTCGACTTTGACCTACAAGGAGGTCTCAGTTAGACTAGTAAAAGCCTGAAATGGTCGATCGTCATGGACCTTTGGAGTCGAGTTATGATCTCTTTACTTAATTTTGAACCAATTGTTCGATATTACACAAAAAATCAGATCAAGAAGTTTTGCTTAAAGATTTTGCTTATAGATAAATCTAATCATTTTAGAATGTGCCAAAAATTTCAACCGAGCAGACTTTTCTTTTGTCAAGATTTTAAATTATTATAAAATAATCTATTATCATAGACAAGATAGAAAAACAAAACAGTTTACTTGATAATGCAATAGGTCGATAAAGAATCTTTGAAGATATTCGAAAAATGATTAGACCTATCTGTGAACAAAACTCTGCTATGTGATTTTTACTCAATATCAAATAAAAGGTCCAAAATTCAGTTAAGAGGTTATTAGTCGGCTTCAAACGCCTAATATGAGCTCAAACAGTGAGTTTCACTACTGATGGATTTCTCATAAGTGTTCTATATTAAACATGAATATGTATTGATTTAAAATTTCAACTAAGAAAGTTGAGTATTTTGATTGTTTTTCAGATACAGTCGAACGTATAATAATTTACTGAAACAAGGAAATATAAAACATATAGATCGCAAAAGTCACAATTATTCGAATGTTTTCAAGTTCTTTCAAAGTCTACAAATAGTCGTGACATTTTTCAGTTTCACTGTATACAAAAAAGAATTTCAATCGAGATTTTTCTTCCCCCTTGATCATTTTTGTACGTTTTCAATAGATCACTCAATCAATACAAATAAACATAGCACAATAAGAAAACCTGTGCGCAAAATACTTTTTTTTTCTGAGAAGAAAAACTAATATTACAAAATATACATCTCAAATACATATGTGAAATCGTTCTTTTACTATAATCAATATTATTTTATCTATCGATATTTGGTTTTCTTGTCGATGTGCACATAGTTCAACTAAATAATAATTTCTATTCAGATTTCGAATATCTAACATATTTTTTAATCCCAATCCCAAAGTACCAAACTCAAATTAGTTCTACAACAATTAAAACAATTGAGTCCACACTTTTCATAGCCCAGTAGAAAATAACGGCTCGTAAATGATCGTAAATGGTTTGAAAACAGTGAAAAGAGACCAACGTTACGATGGCTACCTACGATACATCGGAAAACGCCTAAATAATGCAATAAACAGTGGCCGTTTACATGGATCGTTTACGTATTATCGGAAATGGTGTGGGTGTGTGGTGTGGATGTGGGTGTAGGTGTTGATGTCCATAGAAGTATCGGCGTTCGTCGCCGAGTATCGATGAAGAGAAGGTCAGCATCCACACGCACATCCACCGCGTGATGTCGTGTATGTGTCGTTTCGTGACACTCTCACCCTCATACCCTCATCCACATCCTCATTCTCACACTCTTACCCTCACCTTCACTGTTCATGTGAACGTATTGCTATGCCTTATAAAGATTTAATTAGCATTGATTCATTCGAATAATGATGCGGCGAGATGCTTTTGAAAATCGCCTTATATTTCAAACCTGATAAAACATGATCCATTGAAACTTATACTACAATCATACTTCGATTTCCTGTGGAAAAATAGTTGCTGAACAACAACTAAATCCCATCCACATAGAAAATACTTGACCCAGTGTGAATTGAATTGTGATCATATCGATCTAATCTCAATATGATGAACGATAAAAGTGAAATAGCTTTGCTTGTGATGCCAATAAGTAATCGACACAAAATTTTCTCTATTTCAAAACCACAAAGGTCGTATTGAAAATAGTTGTTTTTTACTGCAAATGAAAATACTTCATCCGGTTCATCATGCAGTGAATTTGTTTTGAAAAAGTATAATCAGTGATGAAAAAATCAGAGGCAAAAGCCTCCACCATTGACAATGAACTACTTGCTCATATCAATAGAAAATAAGATTTATCCTGGACAATTACAATTGACTGCTTTTTTTGGGATTGTTAATGATAAACAATTCTATTCCAATTGAATTTTCATTTTGAGTTCTTGCGTTGTGAACAGACAAATTTTACAAGATACAAAAATTGATTTGTGTAATCTTTTTTTTCTGCTTATCAAAATATAATTTTAACGTTATTTTAATTTATTTAAAACAGAATTCAGAGTTACATTAAAAAAGAAAAGCAATAGATAAAATATTTTCGACAGTTTTCAATATTCAAAAACAGAAAACTGTTAGAACAGCACTTTTTTCCACTACAAATGAAGCAAGAAAACGATCTAGTTTAGTTAATGACAATAATAAAAGAGCACACAAGATCATGTTTAAGTGTTACATTAAAATCAACAAGAAAATTTGTAGTAAACAAAAAAAATATTTTGAAATATTCAGAGAAAAGAATAGAAATATTTAGTTTTAGTTGATAATTAGGGAATAGAGAAAGGATATGTTTATATTAGAAATAAGAACTAACTGACTAAGGAAATGTAATATCAATGAATCAGATAATTCCAAAGATGTTGATAGAAATAATCGAAATGTTTTTTTATTCCTCGTCCTTAAGATGTAAAACTGGTTTTTAT